AGAAGTCATGATATATAGGGAGCGGTTCCGGTAAGAACGGACTTCCAGGAGAGAAATAAGAATGAATCTGGACCGTTGGAATGTATTATGCGGAACTAAAATGTGCATTTGGTGTGATGGAGTATATGGCTCAGGAACCCCCGGCCTACATACTCCAACTACCACATAACAGCCCAGGCGGCCCATACGCGGCGACCCAAGCTACATGAGATCCATAGTGCGCAATGTATGCCTTCGGCACCACAGCCGAGGGCATGAAACTCAAGCGGGCAGCTGCTCTTGGACCAACATCACTACTACAGAATTCGGGCTCAAATATAAGCCTTCGGCCAATACTCTGAAGGGTTACACCTCGGCAAAGATTCCCCGGTGAAGACACGCAATCACCGCATTGAGTGCGGTGTCACGTCCAACCACCGCATTTAATGTACGTGGTGTCACATTCAGTGCCCGACGCCACCGCAGCTGAAGTGACTCTCCACCATTGATTAGCTTACACGTGTATTCGCATTAAATGTGCATAACCCTTATGGCTGCTATAATAGCGCCCCTTTTCCTGTGTAAAGCACAACGACTTCATTAATTACATCCTCTTCTGTCTCTTACTTATTGCTCTGACTTCTCTCTAGATACCCCTCATGATATCCCGGTATAGACTTTCTATCATGGTGAAACTGGAATGTGCATTAGATGATATTGAAATGTGCAGAATAAATATTTAAACTCAAGTGTGCATTAGGTGAAACTGAAATATGCGGAATAAAAGGTATAAAAATATCATCACATCATACCTTTTATTCTGCACATTTCAGTTTCACCTAGTGCACATTTCAATTTCACCTAATGCACAATTCAACTTCACATAATGTCACTCTATCATATTCTTTGTGTTACACATTTCAATTTTACCCCTAATGCAAATTACAGTTTCATCTAATGCACATTTAATTTCACTTAAAGCAAATCTAACGGTACAAATTCATTATATTCTCATTTCTCTCCTAAGATCATGTTCTTATATAGGGGTGAGTTCTAATACAAAGAGGTCTTCTCATTAATGGTGTGATGTTTTACTTTTCACTTTGGTGCTAGTCCAATTACCTTTTCCTTCATAGTCATGCACATTTATCACATTATTTTTCAAAAGAGTTTCTAATATTTACAGTTTTGTCACCAAATGTTTCACTTTAAAATTGATCAGATCCACTAATTTTCTCATTTTAGTGCCTAAGATTACTTTTCATTTTTCATATGAGGAGTACTTTGTAGTATTTGAAGCTCCCTATATATATATATATATATATATATATATATATATATATATATATATATATATATATATATATATATATAGATTTAGGTTCTAATGAGAACACTCCTTAAAATGAGATGTGAGAACAAATCCAGGCCATCAAAAATCTCAGCAGATCATCGATCGATTAACTGGCGGCGAAGGATATTTTAGTCTCTATCAAAAAGCACCGTTTTTGTAACCGACTCTGGAGTAATACGTTCGTCCGAGGCATTGATGGAAGGAATAACTTCCATCTTATTTGATTTTATTTCTTACGTGAATTAGGTTATCCAATTATAGAAACAACATCTTTTTCCTTTTTTTGAAATTCTTCTTCGTTCTTCATACCGTCTTGCTCGACGATCGTCTTGGCCTCCATTTGGAAGGTGTCGCGTGTGTACTGTACAATGAAGGAAGCCATGGAACCAGGTTTTTATCTTCCAAATTTACGTTTCTACTATAATTTTGATCTACGTATGTATTATAATTGTTGAGATCATGTTTTTTATAAAACATGTTTCCGTGTGTAATACATGACTTCTTACAGTAAAAAATAATCTTTTATAACAAGAAATATTAACTCGTTTTGTATTTTGTATTGGATTTTAGTTTCACACGTTTCACTAGTTCATGCATATGTTGCATGCATGAGATGCACATCTACAACTATTTTTTGTCTTTTACCGTAGGAGAATCAAGTCATTGTGAAATTTCTCCCGGTATGACTAAGTATTGGATTCCAGAATGCCAAAGTGATAGGAAGCCCGCCGTTGGTATGGTATTCACTAGTTTACAACATGGTATTGATTTCTACAATGAATATGCATCTTTATGCGGCTTTGATCCACGCCTTCATTCCCAAAGGAAGCACAAATCTGGTTTGATTTTATTCAAATATGTTGTTTGTAATCGTCAAGGTTTTAAACCTGACAAGGTTGTGCAGAATGAAGGGACTATTCCCACTGTTGATGATTTATTTCAAAATGCTAATCTGGAAAATACTCTTGATCCATGCATGGATAATTCTGATATTGATGATAATGTGTCATTGTGTGTGGAAGATTCTGATCTCACGTCACCCGCACCTTCAAATCAATGCACTTTAGACGATGAGTCAAATAAAAGGCGTCGTGTATCTACCAGAAATGGTTGCAAAGCATGTGTTGTGTTTAAATATTGTGGGTATGGTCGTTACTCTGTATTTAAGTTTGAAGAACGTCACTGTCATCGTATGCTTGAAGAAATGCATAAACAATTCCTTAAGGTGAATAGAAACCTTGATTTTGGTCATAAGAAATTCATCATCAATTGTGCTAAAGCAAACATTGGTCCGATGAAGTCTTATAAACTCTTTAAGGAGTCAGTAGGTGGATATAGCAACATTGGTGCAACTGCTGTCGATTTCAAAAATTTCAAACGAGATCTTAGGGCATACATTGAGGGTGTTGATGCACAGATGTTGATTGATAAGCTATTTCGGAAGGTTGAAGTGTGCTCTTCATTTTTCTTTGATTATGACGTGGATGAGAATGATCAGTTGACCAAGATTTTTTGGGCGGATCCAATTTGTAGGCGAAATTATTCTTATTTTGGAGACGTGGTTTCTTTTGATGCGACGTTCCGTACGAACAGGTATTTCTTTCATCATGATTTGTATTTTAGGTTGCACAATAAAATACCTACGATGCTAAACACCTGGTTTATGCTTTTGCAGGTATAATTTGGTTTTTGTTCCATTCACCGGTGTTGACAATCACAAAAAGTGTGTCACTTTTGCTGCTGGTTTATTGTCAAAAGAAGATGTAGAGTCATACGTCTGGCTTGTATCACGGTTTATTGATGCAATGGGTAGTGTACCAATGTGCGTAATAACGGATCAAGATCCAGCCATGCGCATTGCTATTCAGAAGGTAATTCCTAATGTAAAACATCGCTATTGCATGTGGCATATAATGAACAAGTTGACTACTAAAGTGGGCCCTGTGCTTAGTAAGGATGTTGATTTTTTGACAAGGATTAATAGTGTTGTTTGGAGTAACTACCTTGAGCCTTCTGTTTTTGAGGAAAAATGGAAATCTGTTATGACCGATTATGACCTCTTGGAGCACCAATGGTTTGTTGACTTGTTTAATCTTCGCAAGTTTTGGATACCTTCTTATTTTAGGGATTTGTTCATGGCTGGTTTGCTTCGAACAACGTCGCGGTCAGAAAGTGAAAATAATTTCTTCGGTGAGTTTACTAACCCTCACTTTAGTCTCATTGAATTTTACATGCAATTTGAAAGTGCAATGGATGCTCAACGGCATAATAATGATAAGCTAAATTCAAGTTCTGATGCGTACATTCCTGTTTTTAAGACTCCCCTAGCCATTGAAAAGCATGCTTCAGAGATGTATACGGTAACAATTTTTTATTTAGTGCAAGAGGAGATTGCATCAGCTTGTTTTAGTTGTCATGTGCTTAATGTGCATGAGAATGAAGAGAATGTGGAGTATGTAATTAAAGATGATCATGGTATGACATTCAAGGTACAATTCAATGTTTCTGATGTCAAAGCGTTTTGTGAGTGCAAATATTTTCTCCGAATGGGGTTGGTTTGTAGGCACATGTTCGTTGCTTTCAAATATTTGAATCTTACTACTATTCCTCATCATTATGTCGTATCTCGATGGTGTAAAAAACGTCTTCTGAAACCTGTACATGGTATAGGAGATGTTGTTGTTCAACAGTGCATTGAAATTGAAGAGAAGAAAAAACTTTTGCACCATGTGTGGTCTGACTTGCACTCTTGTGTTGCTCTAGCTGAAAAAGATGCAACGAGATTAAAACAATTTGCAACTGTTATTAGGCATCAAAAGAATGAGCTTATGTTGGCAGACCGGACTGATTCAGTTCCCACAACCAAGGATTCCATGATTCAGGATTTTTATGGAGCTAGTACGCCTGCTGAAGTTAGTGTGTTTCCTCCTCAAAAGGCCAAGAATAAAGGATCTGGTCGGAGAATAAAAGGTGCACGGGAGGCGTCAATTGAAGAAAATAAGAAACCAAAGAGATTGTGTAGGTCATGTAATGAAATGTGTAATCATGATAGTAGAAATTGTCCTTTAAACAAAAACAAATAAATTGAACAATGTCATTTTAATTCTTATTTTATATTGATTAATCATTTCTCTTTTTACTTTTTTTAACTCTTTATATGTAACGTTAGAACGTTTATCCAGATAATATTGAATTGTTAAGTGAATGTGCACATTTGCATTATTTTAAATATTTTTGGTCGTTCAATGCTTATTTTAGCGCGTGACTTCAATTCCTTATCTAACAATAAATAATTGATGACTTCAATTCATCCATCTTGAATAATTTTTGTGTATAAGTACGTCCGATTCACAATATCATTTTTTTTTGTCAATTGAGTGAATAAATTTCTGAAAAACATTACTTAAAACAATTTTCGGATACTTCGGTAGTAACCTTTGAAATATCATATGTAATACTTAAACCAGTGCTGTAAACACACATTTTGGAATCTGTGCTGCACAATAAGATCTACGCTTACTCAGGCATTTCTCTTGTGGTCAATAAATATAATTCAACTACTTTTGACAATATTCAATCCAATAATTCAACAAAAACTAAACAGTACTGAAATCCAAAAATAATAAAAAACAACAAAGTCATCTTGAACATGTTTTTAAAGCCCTTCCACATCATTAAAAATTAAAGCCCTTCTCATGGTCGTGGTTTTTTCCCTCTCGCTTTTTCTTTCTTCTTGCCGTACTCACGTGCCTGATTAAAAACTTCCAATTTCAGCTCGTTTGCATCAGCATAAAGCATAGCAGCAACATACTTAAACCGTAGTGATGCAATCTTCTTCTTGTCGTTTTTGCCCAGCCCGCACTCCCAACCTTGTACGCCTTCGCCTTTATACGTCTCCATATGCCTCATGCAGTAAATTCCATAATCATCACTGTTTTTGGCATCCCTCCATTTCATGACCAAACGTTTTGGTTTAACACTTTCGAGCATGGCGGCCTTTGTCTCCAATGGGCTGTATTTCACATACTCTAGAAGCATATCTCGCTGTATAAATTCACAATTGCATTAAGTGTAATTTATTTGGAATTAGTAACAAATATGCATTTCTATATTTATTTTACTTACAACAATTTCTCCCATTTGACCATATCTATCTCCTTTGGCGGATGAGCTATCCAGTATTTCAACCTTTTTGTTTTTCAGATTCACACATACAACGTACATATGGTTAGGCTGCTCAATGGGCACAAAAACCTGCACAACAGCAATAAACCACAACTAATTACGCTTTCTTTCAAATGCATACAGTTTGACAAAAAAAAATTACCATGTCAATGTCACTGAGATTAACAAACTCTTTCATCACATCCAAAGCCTCTTCCATGCCTTCTCCAAACAGTAAAAATCGTTCGGTCGTTGTCATTTTGCTTCCGTCCGTGCTGTACACCTGATTTTTTTAAATATAATTTACGTTGTTAGTAATACATCTACCACACTCAATATTTGTGAAATCGTGTACTTACGCAAGGAAAGGGCTTTGTGAAAATCCGACACGGTGAATCATCACTCTTGTGCTCTTCTCTGCTGTTCAACACAGTGGCCCAAGTCCTCAGTACAACACTCTGAATATGTCCACTCCCTTTCATACATTTGAAACCAGATTTTGGCACACTCAATCCCTTGCATTTAAAAACCACCACCTCACTGCAAAATTTGCTCACACTTAGTAATTTTTCCAATTACAATTTTATTTTAAATTTTTCTCACATTTAATTAACCAAATGTCACAAATTATACATTTTATAATATTTTCTTATTCTTACCTGTCCCCAACAGAATCCAGTAAGATCCACGACCAAATAGCCTTTTCTACCGCCGAAAATGCTTCATTTGGGTCAACAGTTCTACTAATGAATGGCGATTTATGAACAACCGCTGTTTTGAGCCTTCTTCGAAGTCTGTCATCAACTGTTACAGTGTCCCCCTGTTTATTTAAAAAATTGTAAATGAATCGATTCTTTAAGTATTTCACATTTCACAAACAAATAATTAATTCCAATTTTACCTCTTTATTGGGTTTTGTGTGAACCACCACTTGACCTTCATTCACCTGTAACAATTTATACCTTATGTCAGTAATACACTCTATTCATATCTAACATCGTCAAATAGACACATTGTGTACCTCTGCATTGTTCTTGTGAATATTGTTCTCCAACATTCTCCCCTCCTCATTCTCTTTTTCAGCCTGTGTCAACCCTAAGCTAAAGGTAGGAATATCCTCAAGCCTGCGTTTATTCTGAACCCTTTTCAACTCATCTCTTTCAGCCTCCTCTAGTGCATATAAAGTCCTAGGATCTGACCAAAACAATTGGTCCGCTATCTCATCTTCATCTAGCTGCCTTGGCGTCTCTGTTCGGCTTTCTGTCTGTTTCTGTGCTAATCCAATCAGCACTTTCGCCACTTCCACAATTTTGATCATATTTTCTTTCACTTGAAGATCACTTGGCCCTTGTTCAATCAAACTCACCATTTCAATTGCTATCGAGGCCAGCATGTCAGATTTAGCCTCCAATTTGACAATGACATCCTGTCAAAAAATACACATAAACAGTTTTCATGTTTCAAAATGCATTACATAATGTACAATATATACTGCCAATATCACAACTCTTACCTCTTCACATGTGTCCTGTTCGTCAGCGCCTCGTACTTGTGCACTAGTCCCCGCTACAGGCTCTCCTCTGTCATTGCTTCCCATCTCTTCTCTTCCCTTTTTCTCTTCCATCTTCATCTGCTCATCAATGTAACCCAAACCAAATCCTCCTCCCTTAACCTCTGCATTTTCTCTTGCTCTCAACTGACTTGTTGTCCATCCAACAACTGCTGGAAATGTCCTCGGGAATGCCCTCTTGGATAGCACCACTCTGTCTGCATAAAAAACCTGCATTTTTTTTTGTCAGTACACATTTTCATTATATATTAACTGATTGCATCTTACCATTAAAAACAATATTGGTCCGGTGAAGATCTTGAATTTGTTATGCTCCCATGCCTCTCTGTTATCAATTAATGAAGACAACACAAACTCGCACCAATTCAGATCCTTTATTCCTTCTATCGTGTCGAGATTGTTTATGATTTGATGGTTCGCATAGCCATTTTGATAGCTATCGATTACCACAGATACGAGCAGGACCAAAAAATGCCTTATGAACCATATTCCACCCTCAGTACACTCCAACATCGCCTTGCATACTTCTGTCGGAGTAATCTGATTCTCATTCTTCTTAAATAGTGCTCTCCACTCATCTAGCACCTCACATTTTGCTAATCTATGTTTTTTTAGTATAGGTTTGCTGCCTCTTGGAAATCCGAGCACTATCTGCACATCCTCTTCCTTGATTTGCACACTGCCATCAAGTATTTCCAGCTTGCAGTTTTTTGGATTGAAAGATTTCAACACCCAATAAGCCAGCTTTGAAGGTATCTCTGGTGTTTCCAACCTTAACATGCTTCCAAACCCAATTCTTTCAACTTCATTCTTTTGCTTGTCATTGAATTGCTTGACTGCTCTCACAAATACATTTGGTGATGATCTGGTTTGAAGTGTTGGCAGCCCTTCCTTCATCAGCGTAATTTTCCCCTTCTTTCTTTTCTTCACATTGACCACTTCATCCTGCACACTACATTCTGCTCTCTTTGTCTTTTGTATTGGTGCCTCTTGAAAGTCATCATCACTCTCGTGAATCACAGTGTCACCAATGAGCTGACCGCTGACCTCTTTGTGTTGTTCCTTGTATTGCAACACTCCAGAAATTGTTCCACGCTCACCATCCACTTTTTGTGTAGCTGAAGCCTGTTGAATCCTACCACTACGACGTGGGCTTGGTGACGAATTTCCACTTTCAGAGCAAACCAAATACACATGTTTGGCACGCTTGTTCAAGTCAACCTTTTTTACCACTATTGTACCTGTACAATGTTAATCATTAAACACTTCACACGTATGAATGTAAAAACTCGCATTCACAAATCCAAGTAACACAATTTTGGAATATCAATGCCACTATACCTTGGCTTTGCACTTGTTCATTTATTTTTGCAACTTCTTTTGAAGTTTTTTGCATTTTGCTAGCCACACGAGCACCATCTTCCTTTTCGTTTTGCTTCCCCCTGTACATCGTTCCATCTTCATGACCTGCATGCACAATGAATCACTATTATGAGAACACTTTTGTGCCAAAGATAATACCCCAATATTGTATTTTGAAAAAATTCCAATAGAATTTAAAATACACTTTTTTAAGTTAGGAATGCACATTTACTCTTGTTTACTAACGCTTCTTATCCTGTTATTTTTCGCTCGGTCTAACATCTCACGCTTTGCTCCCATTTTTGCACAAATTTAATCCTTCGTATAACAAAATTCAAAGGCAATGTCTACTGTACTTATTACACTCAAAAATCTATATTGAGAATCTAATATACAGTCTTTACCCCCTCCCTCCCCTCAAAATTTTAATGCATATTTACTTTTGTTTATTACACTTTCTCATGTTTTTATTCAGTTCAAATACCATTGTACACAAAATGGATCCTTTTTTGCACATTCTCAAACTTATTACAGCAAAAACTTCAAAATAATGTCTACTCCACTTATGTCAATCTAGTATGCACAATTGTTGTCTCTTATTTTCACGTACTACTAACTCCTTTTTAACTCCACTGGTACATAAAACAAATACAACTGTCACCACACATTTTAAGATTTCATATGCACATTTATTCTTCTTTATAACAGTATTGTTACTTATTATTCCCGTGGAGTACAACATCACACCAAATGCTCCCATATATGCACAATTGTTACTTTTGAAATAAACATATGAAAATGCATCCCTACTGCACTTATGACACCCATTACATTCACAAATTTCTACTAAGACTTGCACTACTAACCAAACAAAAAATTCCCTTAAAAAATCCCCCAAAAGTACAAAGCAAACATTCTTCACAACTAAATCACCAAATTCAACCTTTCCAAATTAAACTTCAAACGTAGTATTCATATTTGAAGTTCGTATCATCCTTACAACATGAACAAACAGCAAATTCGCATACCAATAAACAAACCCCGAATTCAAATTCACATACACTATTTGCATGTGCACACAAATAACCCTAATCCGACTACTTGTCTACGGATGTAGTCATGCACAATTGTATTACACTGGGACACAACAATTTACAGTTCAACCACTCATATCATCAAATAATTAACAGTAGTATACATATATTTTAGACACACTTCGTCTTCCAACTTCCGCACAATAAAATGTATACTTCACAAACGTACCTTCTTCATCGGCTGTGCTCTGGTTCATCATCGCATACTCTTCTTGAACAGAGCTCATTTTCGTCTTTCTCTTGCACTCTTGGCTCTGGAAAACTTTACTACTTCAAATCAATGCCGAGACAGTATATTGGTACTCTCGCACATCAATTTCGGTAGTTACCATTTTTAATTCTCTTTATTTTTGTCAGTCGTGTGATGAATGGAAGCTCTTGCGTGATTATGGCTAGTTTTTCGGGAAGTGGAAACAAGAAAACGGAACTCCATAGAAGGTATCTTTTCCCAAGTTACTATTATACCCTCCACGCACGCGGTCTCTGGTTTATTCTGTTCGTAAGATGCAATTAGGTGTGACGCAATGTAGGAATTATTTGTGCACCTCATACCGTTTACACCGTCCGTTTCTTAAAATTGAAGGCATGGATTTGTTCTCACATCTTATTATAAGGGGTGTTCTCATTAGAACCTAACCCTATATATATATATATATATATATATATATATATATATATATATATATATATATATATAAAAGATGTGCGCAGTGTGTGTTTGTTCGCCTATAGTTATGATATATTTTATATTATATACATGCTTATCTTTTGCCTTTGAAAATAAATCACTCCTTCTAAATGACATAGCAAATTCTTCAGTTTTTTGATTGCCAGAGCCATTGTGATATGCCATTACTCTCATATTATTTGTGAGAAGCACTCAACTATGATATCAAAGATGTGAAATCTTAACCGCCACCATAATCACATCGGTTCTCCATAACTGTTGGAAAAATGTGTTAAAATTTACAATAAATGGTCAATTTTTGACAATATTTTGAATAGGGTCCACTTTCGATCGGGGTCGGACCAAAGTGGTTTCGGATTGTCCTTGCTAAGGGCTACAATTCAATACCTGATGCACTCAAAATGGATAACGGATGAATGCGAAATTGATTCTCGAAGTTCCCAAAAATATGAGAAAATAGCAAAATAGTCTTCTACAGTAATTCAGCAAATATAACAAAAAGGTAATTATAACTTTACATTTTCTTCTTATTACATAATTTAGCACATGAAATAAAAAATTGTCTAATAAATCGAAAAACTTAGATACTAAACGGGCTCTCTACCTGGGCAAATAATCATTCGTTAGGTGATATTATCAAATATTCCGTATGATCAATATAATTATAATGATACAAGTCATATCATTTGAAAATTTATAAAGATCAACATTCGGTGGAAAACATGTTATGTCACATCAAAAACCGTCGCATAGTTTATAAAAAAAAAAGATGACACCCCATCCCTGATGCCCCATAACACCGACTAGACGGCACGATGGGAGGATGTAAATTGGACTATAATCACAATTTGACAGATAGAGAGTGGGGCTCCGTCCCCGGTACTTGCAGAGGCCCTATGCATTTTTAGCATAGTAATCTCTCATCGCAGTTGAGCTACTGTACGCCCACCGGTGTCACATAGTTTATATATCATGTTCTTCCGTCCCTTTCTAAGTTTGTTAAGTTCGATGGATACATAAAAGAATTATGCAGTACGAGTAATAGAATTTGGAGAAATGAAAAAAATAATAAAAATTACTCCGTATAAGTTAATCAATAAAAAGAAAATTGTTAAAAACTTCCAGTCAATTATAATAGAAAAGATAACAAAATTATAAAATACAAAATGTTATACTTTATTATCAAATTATATACCCTCAATCCCTGCCTAAATATTTTTTTACTTTGTTTTAAAAGTAACAAATACGGAGTATTATTTATATTCCGTATTTTTTACTCGATCTAATCTACACAAATACTGATGATGTAAATTCACTTTTTATTGCACCTCTCATACGAACTTGGCCATGTTTGGTTGGAGAGATGAGATGAGTTATGTTAAAAGGATTTACTAAAATACTATGATTAATTATAAATTGTTAACCACGTCAAGTAAAATGATTATTTTCCATTCAAAAGTAAACCAAGAAGGCTGCCATTGGGCGCGAGACGTAAACTTTACAAAAACTTTATATCAAATTAGATTTTTTACCCGTGCGTTGCACGTGATGCATTTAGTAAGCATTAATTTTTTTAAGAACATAAACAAATGTTACGAATTATTATAAACCTCCGTCTAAACAACACTTTTTTATCAATTTATATCAAGAGTATTAATACTTTCAAATACGGAGGTTTTTTTGAATGTTCATTTTTGTACATAAAAAAGCTATGGTGAGCTATTCATTTTTTTATATAAATCATTGATAGACCAACAATTTATTTTATTATTAGTGTTATTCCATTTATCCAATTAAAAGTAGGAGAAAAATAAAACCAAAATTGACAATCAGACAAAGAAACGGCTGCTCTACCCAAAGAATGACATGAGAAAACTTGACACTATTCAAATTAGCAATCATAAATCTAATATCATCCGCAACCAAACCAAAACCCAAAGAGTCCTTCTCGTCTTGGATCTCTCATAGATTACGTGAACCACGTTGAACTCTACCTCCATATTACTCCAATCACAGGACTCCAACCAAGCCAATGCTTCACGTACCCCAACATCTCTGCTTCCTTG